AAAAAAAAAAAAAAAAGTTGAGCCATCCTTCCTTAGCTCCCTGCCTTAATTTTTTGGCTTTTTGAGACAGGGTTCCACTATGCAGTTCAGGCTGGCCTTGAGCTCACTTTGTAGCCCAGGCTGTTCTTGAACTCCCAACGATCCTCCTGCCTCAGCCTCCCAAGGGCTGGGATTACAAGCGTGCACCACCACACCCGGCTTCCCTGCCTTAATTTTGAGTCTGTGTTAGTCACCTTTGTGTCACTATAACAAAACATCTGAGGTAATCAACTTCCTTTATTTTGGCTGACAGGTTTCAGTCCATGATCCTGGGCCCCTTTGCTTTGGGGCTGTAGAGAGGTAGCACATCACGTGGGAATGTGTGCTGGAACAAAACCATTTACAGCACGAGCCAGAGAGCAAAGAGCATGGGGAGGAGCTGGGGATGCACAGTCCTCTTCAAGGCTGTGCCCAGACCTCCCACGAGATCGCACCTCTAACGGCCCTGCTGCCTGCCATATTGCCACCTTGGTCACTTTTCTCATTGTCTTGGTCATTTTTCTCATTGCTGAGACAAAATACCCAACACCTGCAGTTTAAAGGAGAGGAAGTTTACTTTGGCTTACATGTTTAGTCCATATTGGCTGGCTCCAGGGCAGGAAGGCATAGTGGAAGGCCCTGGGGAGAAGAGCGCTACTCAGGGCATGACCGCTGGGAAGAGGGTGAAGCGAGGAGCTGGAGAGGGAGATAGACCCTTCCAGGCCACACCTCCAGTGACCCCTCTTCCAACCAAATCCCACCTCCTGACAGCAAGTCCTGTGTAAGCCCCCATAAGCACTCACCTTCCCCAAACCCCACCTATGAGTGCTTGAGGCCTTGGGGGGCATCTAGATATAAACTGTGACCAACCTTTAACATCCAGACTGTAGCAGGCAACTCTTCTTGTGTAACTCTTGACCTGTATCTGCCATTACATAAAGATATGGAAAGAATAGGTCCTCTTGCATTTTTATTCACTCCTTTTTGTTTTCTCATAATTCTCTAGGGGTTCTTGTGGTAAAAACATGAACAAAACTTCTAACTATTACCCGCAGTATCTGCTATTCTATCCCCGAAAGGCGGTCCTCAGAAGTACTGTGGATCACCCCGTTTATATCGCTCTCTCTTCTCCGCCCTCCAGGAATACCCTCTTAGGCCCTTTCCTCTCCAGAGTCTACAGCTTCTTGGCTGTCCATGACCTAGCTGAGTTTTTCTTTTATCTCAAAATTCATTCAAATTTTATTCCCTCAAATACCAAAGGTTTCAAGTTATTCTTTACTCAAGTTGTTAGCAAATTAATGAATTCCCTTCCTGAGAACAAAGCGATGATTTTGGTCTCTTAACTACCTTTTACTCTAACTCAAATGTTATCTTCCCCCTCTCCTGGCCACCCTGTGCAAAATTACAACCTTCCTGTATTACCTGTTGCCCTTTCTTGCATTGTTTTTCTGTTGAGCATTTATGTCATCTTACATACTTGCATGCGTATTTGTATTTGTGTGTGTGTGTGTGTGTGTGTGTGTATTTGTTTATTGACTCCTACCTAGCAGAATGTAAGCTTCATGGCATGGTAATTTTTAGTGTTTTTCACTGCTTGACCTCCTGGCACCTAGGATAGCACTTAGCACACATTAGACAGTCAGCAAATGTTAGTTTTCTAAATGGACTAAAAGAAATGATTCTTTTGATGAGAATTACAGTATGGAAGCAGGCTGATGATAGAGTCTTTTCCTTTTTTTTAAAAAAAAGGTTGATAATACATATTTCCATGCATAGTGCTCATAGTCATCCTAGGGAATTTGTACCTGGACATAATGTATCCTAATTCTTTTTTTTTTTTTTTTTTTCATTCCCCTCCTCTCCCTTTCTTATTTACAGAAGCTTTGTTTCCATTTTTTTTTGGATAGGTTTCTAACCATTCTGTTTTACTTGTTCTCCCCAGTCCCATCAGTGCTACATAGAGTAGAATGAATTTTTCTTTGGCTTTTGATGTTGCCGTTCCTAACCTTGGCCCTCTCTGAAGCCTAAGAGGTCAGAAGCCAGTGCGGGCTGTGTTTGTACTAAGAGGCAAAGGGAGTACAGTGTTGCAGGTCACAGTGTTCAGTGAATGAATGTGTCATTTCTGTTCCCTTTGGTCTCAGCTAGTAGTCACAAGTAACTCTTGTTACAAGTGGCGCTGCTGTACCCATGAGGGAAGTTGGAGCATTTGTCTCCAATTTTGCGTTGCTCTGTTTCCGTGTGGTTGTTCCAGGATTACTGTGGCATGGCTTGGTCAGTACTAACTCAGAGATTCAAGAATGGCCTCTTTTCTTCACATGCAGATGAGCATCGACTCAAGTAAGTCACTTTCTTTTCCACTGTAGACATGGCCTTAAAATGTGGATGGCAGATTATGATGACGAGTGATCAAGCAGTAGTACAGATGTGATTTTATGTTGAAGGAGAATTTGACTATTTCAGAATTTGATTTTCAGAGGGATTAGGGCCCAAATAGTGACCCAATTTCATATGCCAAGGGAAACCAGTGGTTACCAGAGAGAGTTCTTACCAAGTGATTTGAAAACAAAAAATGGTCTTTTTTATTTTTAAATATTTTACTGTAGAAAAAATATGCAGAAAAGTTGGAAGAACAGTAGCATATAAATAAAACTTAGCTTCAACAACTATCAACATTTTGACAGTTTGGTTCATTGGTCCTCCCATTTTGTAAATGTTTTAGTTTAAAACTTTCAAAGTTATAAACAAAAATAAAATAGTACCATATACTCCTGTGGACCTTTTACCCAGCATCTCCCCTAAGAGTATCTCCTGGCTGATCTTGTTTTTATTTTTCCCACCCACTACCTGCCTCTTACAACTGGCTTATTTTGAAGCAAATCCTAGATATCGTACAGTTACATCTGTAGGTGTTTCAGCATGTTCTCTGCAGATAAGAGCTCAGGAAGAAAGAAGGAAGAAAAGGAGGAGAGGAGAGAAAGGAAAGAGAAAGAAACCAGAGCTCCAGTATACCATTATTGCCAGAGGGCTGTTTTCATCTTTTAGTACTTTGCAGTAGGCTGAAGTTTGGCTCACTTTATAGATGAGGAAGCGGGCAGGGCAGGCAGGTCTTTGATGTCTAGTGTGAACACGTGGCTTGTTGCAACGGAAAGTGTTAGAATTCTTCTTTTTTTAAAAATTTAATTTGCTGTTGTCACATCAGATATCAGTGCTTTAAGTCAGCTTGGATGTACCAAGTCCTACATGAAGGATTCCACTTTCCCTACGACTACCCAAACCTGCGGACGGCCCAGCTGGTGTATGACCGAGAGGTCCAGTGGACACTGGGAGCCATTCTCTATAAAACGCGGTTTTTACCACTCAGGTAAATGCAGCTGACCGTGCTGACATGTTCAGCGCAGAGAATGTTAGTTGATGCCTCAAAAGAGATCTAAATGATCCCCCTCTCTACCTTTGCCCCCAAAACAAACAGATTCCCATTATCACTTCCATGTAGGCCATGCTGTGACCAGGCATGCTGAAACAGAAAGTTAAGAATTACTGGTCTGGAGTCTGTTCCTCAGCTTTGCTGTTTTAGGAAGTCAGGTGTACTTGTTCACCTGTAATAGATCAGTTTTTAGGATTGAGTTCTTACCAGCCACTTCTAGGATTCTGACTGATGAGCTGAAATGTCATTCTTGAATTATCCTGAGAAACACAGGATGTGACTAGAGAAGGGGGTAGGCTGTCTGGGTGGAGTCACACCAGCAGTGGTCACTGACCTATCCTAGCTACTTTCCTGGACACAATACCCAGCACCCACAACTTAGAGGAAGACAGGTTTATTTTGGCTCACGGTTTTTAGAGGAGTCAGTCCATTGTCAGCTGGCTTCAAGGCAGGAAGGGCGTGGTGAAGGCTCTCGTGGGGGAAAACTGCATGTTTTCAGTCCATGGTGGCCAGGAGGCTGAAAGTGCAGAGGGCAGGGGCAGCGGAGGGAGGTGTACCTCCGGGGCCACATTTCCGGGGACCACCTCCTCCGACAGGCGCCACCTCCTCATGACACACTTTAACGATCAGTTCCCGAGGGGTTAAGTCACTGTTGAGTAGAGCACCCCCTGATTAGTGTCACCTTCCACAAGCCCCACCTCTAAACACCCGAGCCTGTGGGGGACGCCTGTGGGGGACGTTCCAGAAAGAAACCATAACAACCTGGTCTGGAATTAGAACAAAGACATGAAATGTTTTAGGGGGGATATTGCTATTACGTCCTGTAAGATATTTGGGACAGTTTTTAGGTATTCTTCCCCCTGGACTATTCCAGATAAACTGGGATGAATTCTTCCTCTTCAGTGTTTGTTCCTCTATGCTGTGAGGAGTCAGGCAAGTGACTGAGTGGGGGAACTGGGTTACAGTCAGAATCAGAATGTCCCCCAACCAAAGGGCTGGTTCCTGTTCTGCAGAGATGCCATTAAAGCATTTGCCATTTCTCGTTTGCTCAGAGAAGGCAAAAATCCATGTTTCATATGAAGTCTTTGAGTTTGGAGATACAGTTTTTAAAAAACACCACAGGCTAAATAAAACACAAACTGGACTCAACATTGGCTTCTACTCTAGCCAGGCCAATAGACCACTGTACTTTACTTTTAAGTATCTACTTTTTCCCATGTTGTAACATAGTTGGTCAAGTTACACCTTTATTTAGATATATGCTAAATCCTAAGGAAATGCAGCAACTTCTAAAGATCAGCACCTTTGATTTCTTGGTTGGATTCAGGGGCACTCTATTCCCAATTAGTAGCATATTTACAAATTATTTTAAAATTTATTTTACAGATGATCTGTCTTACCTTGCTGTTCAGTTGGGTCTTTCTGGCTTGTTTGAAAGGCCTCCCCACTTTCCCCTGCGGTTCCAGATGTTCTGTGCCTGCAGACTACTTATGTAGGTCATGGAAAGGAAGGTGCAGAAAGAGTCACATCAGCCGTGGTGACAGGGACATCATTCACCTTTGCTTGCTTTGCGGAGCTGGTGTCTTAGAGTATTTGTGTGGATAGACTCAATGGGATAACAGCACTAGGTCCTCACGGCAGAGTAATTAATTCTCTTGGAAACTAACAGTTCTTTCCACTTTCCTTAGGGATCTTCGACAGGAAGGTGTCCGACAAGCCCATGGTAACTGGTTCCGTCTGTCCTTTGTCTACAACCATTATCTATTCTTTGCTTGTATCCTGGTGGTGCTACTGGCCATCATCCTGTACCTTCTGCGGCTCCGCCGAATTCACCACCGACAAACTCGAGCCTCAGCTTCCCTGGACTTGCTGTGGATTGAAGAGGTGGTGCCAATCATTGGGGTACAGGTGGCGCCATGAGGCTGGACAAGAACTGGAGAAACTAAAGTATCCCAGAGTTGCTGCTCATTCAATTCTTCCTTTTTTTTTTTTTTTTTTTGTCTTGGCCTCAGATGTTGCTGTGGCCTTGGAATTTCTCCTTTAATTAACTTCCATGTTAATTCCTTCTTAGTAGTCAGGTCCTCTTCTCAGAGAGAAGCTATATATAGTCTTTTATTTGGAAGTGATGAGAGATTGGTGCTAACAAAGGTGACCAAGATTAGTACCACTGAAGCATGCTTCTGTATCTCAGAGATCTGGTGTGTTCCTGGGATCTAGCAATTTCCCCCTTGCTAAAGCATCAAGTTTGGCATTGGGCACAGTGGAAGCCTGGTTGAAACCAAATTTGAAGCATCTGATCTGAAGTCAGACATTCCAGCAAGTGCAGCAGCCCCTTCTTTCTCTGTAACAGAGATATGATTTTGTGGACATCCACAGCCTTTAATAGGATCCAAGATCTTTGCAGTTCAATGGACCAGATAGGAATTCACAAGCCACCAAAATGACATAGCTTCCTTGCTTACCTGACAAAGAAGCCATTGTATGATATGCTTTAAAAGGTTAGAACCTTTTCTAAATGGATGGTCCATTAAAATCTTACAATATTTTATCTGATGCCTGGTCTGACTAGGATAGGAAATGTTTCCATGTCTAGGTGCCTCAAAGGCTGTTTGGGCATTAATTTTGCTTTTTGAGCCTTAAGTGTGCTTGTAGGATGGAGAAACTGTGACAGGGCTTGGACACCTTCCTGGATTTGTCTGGTTACAGGTCCCTGTCCCATAGGCATATTTTTGTGTACAGATTCAGAGAGTTCCTGTGTTTCACTGCTAAGATCAATATGTAGTTTGGGAAAGGATGTATTTGGGTTGTTTATAAAGATAGGATGAATAGTATCAGGAGAATGGACAGAGGGATAAAAATCAAAGCCTTTTTTTTTTTTTTGAGAAAAAAATTATCTTAATTTCTGATTCTTAGACTGTCTGAAGGATAGCAAATTCTAAACTTTGGAATAAACAGATAAATTTCCTAAGAGGCCACCCGGCAACTTTGAGAATATCTATTAAAAGATTCGTCAGTCACAGATAGGACTTCTGTTAGTGAGGAGAGGAAAAGCCATACAAATTAATTTTCATTCATTACTCTGAGGAGCTTTGCTTCTCCTTTACATTGCATGCAGATTTTTCATCAGCTTTGGCCTTTTCCCATGACGCTGTCTTTATACTTCACCTTTTCCTCCATGAAGATACAGCCATAGCCATGAGTGTCCTTCCCATGAATATGCTTCCGGATTAAAGTAGCTCTCCAAGGGCTGGGGATTTAGCTCAGCAGCAAAAGCGCCTGCCTGGCAAGCGCAAGGTCGTGAGTTTGGTTCCCGGTACCGGAGAAAAACCGAAAAAAAAAAAAAAAGTAGCTCTCCATGGGCGTGTGCGTGTGTATGTGTGTGTGTGTAATGCTCGGGATCTGAGCCAGAGTCTTGCACATCCGAGGCAAGCACTGTACCACTGAGCTGCATCCCCAGCGCCTTTAATTTCTAGGATTAGATAAACAGCGAAAGAGGTCTCTGACTTCAAAGCATAAAAGTGGAACTCTTAAAAACTAAGTTTCACAGTGAGATTTACAAAAAAGGATTTAAATCCTTCACACAACAATGAAAAAGAAATTTAGATCGTCTCAGAAGTAGCTGAGACAAAAATAAGTACCCTGACTCTAAATTATAGGAGAAAGAATGGTAAGTTTTGAATTGTTTTCAAATTAGATAAAACATCTTTTACCTTTCATTGGGGCTTATGTCATAGCAATTTCCTCTAATACCTCCATTGTCTTTACTTCTTATTTTTGTTCTTTGTTCCTTCATCTTTGTGAATGCTGCTTACAAATGTCAGAATGTGTTCTAGCTGGCCATGCCTACTCAGGTAATCTGCCTTCACTTCCCCTTGCTTTCCAGACACTATCTTTCACTTCCTTAAGTGATCTAGTCAGTGATCTAGTCAAAAGCTATGTGATTGACTTAACAGTGATCATGGTTGTGTGCTTAAGCTGAGGCTGAAGCAGGGAGGCAATGACTGGTCCAATTTTAAAGGTCTTAGTAGTAAATCCTTGTTGTAATAATGGTTGTCATTTGTTAAGCATTTATATACCAGATACTCATTTAAGAATTTTATGTATGTTATTTAATCATTGCAACAACTTGCAGATGGATATTATGTTCTTTTTATAGTTGAGAATCTCAGGATACTTATGTTTATCATTTTTTCAATATAAATATATTTCTGATTCTTATTTTAACTGGTTTTTGAGTTTTTGTTTAGTGTATTATATCCTGTTTATTTTTTTAATAGGGGCCCTAGGCTTGTCTTTATCACTTGGCAAAGTTCTATTGTATAAAAATGAAGAAAATGACTCTACCCTTCAGAAGAACTGAGTATTTGCTCTTTGCATTAGTTCCTGTCCTCTTTCCATTTCCCGCAATTAGTAGATTTTATGAAATTTCATTAGCTAGAAAGAGAACTCATTTATTCTTTGCTGAAGGCCAGTTAACTTACATGTATCACTTCCTCATAGAAAAAACAATAGTACAGGACCAGAAAACAATCTTGCCATACACTTTATTCTCCTTTAGCCTCCATTGTTAAAAATTTCTTTTTGCATTTTTGCATGCTGAGTGCTTCTCTGTGAAGGTAATTATGGTGTCAGAATTCACATTCCACTGTTTCCTTGAATCTTCCCAACCACTCCTGTAACAGGAACAGAGAACCTAACTTGTTTTAGTACTTCTATTATTACTGACACAGGGCACAGATGTGAAAACTGGAGTCAATGGCTTATTGTAGTGATGCTTTATTAACCTTATGATGGTGCAGTCCATCATTTTTCTCTGAATCGTCACTAGAACATAATGAAAATATATATAATATCACTTACATGGCATTACACTTATTTATGTTACAGTTAATTCTGAACCAAACTATACCATCTTTCTCTCCCTTATATCCTTGAATTGAATTTCCTTGAATTGGGACATTTTAATCATTTTCTGCCAAAATTGTATTTATCCTCCAAATAGCATCCAAAGTATTCTGCCCCTTCCTGTCCTCTGTCTACAAGCTTCCTTTAAGGCCTTGAGTAGATCTTATCGAATCTTGACTGAAAGCCTACCATGCGCTAAGCTAGTCTTTTTAGGCATTAACATTTGCTATTACATTCATACTTACATTTTTGGAATTAAAGAACTTACACTTACCACTATTATCTGAACAGATGCTCCCCCCGACACAGCTGGCAGTTTCATAGTGTTGTGTTTGGATTTTTTGGCTGGGACACATGGATAGTATCATTTAAGTGAAAAAAACATTCTAATTAATGAACGGTCCACTTGGACTCTAGCCCTGCCTTTGTAATTTACAAGCTGCATTACCCCAGATAGGTCAGTTGCCCTCTCTGGATCAGTTCTAGTCTATAAAAAAGGAACTGAAACTAAAAAAAACTAAAAGGAACAAGGAACTGAAGGCAGGAGACAAGTCGTATGGTGTCAGAGAGAATTTGAGCCTTTGGTTTAGATGACCAGCCTGAAAGAGCTTCCTGTTTTATACATCGCCCCGAAATTAAGGTTGATGGGAATGGAGTTTCCAAATTTATTCCAAACTAAATTTCTTTGTAGTTTCCCAATCACTCTAAAGAAGTTTCAGGAGATGAGACGTTTTCCTGGTTTTGGGTTTTAATTTTAAGGCACAGAGATTTGGCCCATGATTTAGAGGCTGAGAAGTCATGAGCATGGGGCTGGCGTCTGCTTGGCATCTGCTGAGCTTTCTTGCTGCATCAGAACGTGGCAGAAACATCATGTGAGGAGGTAGGATGGAAGTGCCAAAGCTGGAATGTCAAGAGATCGTCCAGTCAACCGTCTGTGATTTGTACGGGTAATATAACTGAGGACCAGAGCAGTTGTGATACATGCAAAATCACAGTGAGTGGCCTCCTGGACCCCAGGTTTCTCCCTTGAACAACCCCCCTCAACAGTTTGACAGCTGCAATGGAATGCTCCTTGACAAAATCCGTGAGTATATTTTAACAGGATCGAGAGTACAGCTGGCTGCAAGTAACTGTGCTCAATTTTTATAAAGGCTTCTGATCCTCATTTATGATTGTTTTGTACACAGTTAGAAATACACTTTGAAAGAAATCTTAGAAATAGTTGCTAGGGATGGAAGGGAGGCTGAGGCAGAGAGATCACCAACTTTGACGCAAGCCTGGGCTACACAGTGAGTTCATTCCCAGCAAAATCTTGTCTTTAAAAAAAAAGTGCTAAGTTTTCATCATGTCTGTTTTAATTTCTGTGTGGCTTTTTAATGCTTTTAAATTATAGATGTCTCTTTCAAGCAATATTTGCCTAATTTTGCACAATTTTCTTAACCACAGCATCCAGTAATGAACATGGTTACAACACAAATGAAGATATAGGTGGCTGTTAGGTATGGTACGTGTGCCTATAATGCCAGCTACTCAAGGGGCTGAGATTTGAGGTGAAGCCCGGGAAACATAGCAAGATTCTGCATTAAAACAAAACAAAAACCACAAAATGGCTGCACTATACCTACAACGTTTGCCTAATATGCATGAGTCCTGGGGTTCAATCCCCAGCACCTCATAAAGAAAAAGGTATATTGCCTATTATTACTATAGAGCTACCTCACTAAGAAACTTGTTTATAATTCTTTGGGCAATTTTCAGACTTTCTTACAAAAAGATTGCTGAGGGTGTTTTTGTCTTTTTTTTGTTTTTTTTCTGGTACCAGGAATCGAACTCAGGACCTTGTGCTTGCCAGGCAGGTGCTGTGCCGCTGAGCTAAATCCCCAGCCCCTGTTCTTCTGTCCTTAAACTAGTTTAGAAATAGTATCAAGTTTTCCTTTTTCTCATAGCATATGGTGTAACTTCATTTCAATAGAGATTAAGAATTAAGGCAGAAGCAGCAATGGATATCTCTAATTCTCCCAAAATAGTCTCTTTAAGTTATGCTAGCATCATTGTCTTGCCTTTAGAACAATATGCTTTTGTCAAACTTTCAAGAATTCTGTTGGTATTACAAAAATATTGTTTAAAAAATGAAGACCCAAAACCAAGTTTTGGGTCTCTTGATTAACAAAATAGCAAACCTTTTTGCAGTGAACATACCTGAAATCAAATACGTCTAGGTACTATGTATTTCTTATGGCTTTGTAGTTTGTTGTCTTTCTCCTAAAGATCTAGGTTGAAAAGTTGTAGCACCTTGTTGAAGGCTCATCTTAAACCTGCTTTTTTTTTGTATCCTAGTAGTCTGTACCTGTATAATTACATTATTTCCCTTCTTCCCTAATATTTCATTATTTCCCAGTTTGTCAGTAATGTTCCATAAACACAGAAGAAATAATAAACCAGCTGACCATTTTGATTTTTGGACATCTTAAGCAATAAGGAGATCTTTTTATCTGTAAAGCAATTACTGTTCATGTTAAGAGAGCTTTCATTTTAATTATATGCTGTCTTTGCCTGTTATTTTTATAAAAACCAAAGTTTATTGATATTGTGAATCACAGGATGTTTATAGCCCTTCATGAAAGCTATCAGGCAAGCCTAAAGACACGTCTGCTCCTGAGCCCACCCTTTCTTTCTGTGTGGGGCCGCCACTGAATGACCCTCTGGTGACTTACTCCTCCTCCTCCGTGTGTGTCAGTCAGCTTTCTGTTATTATATTCCTATATGAGGTAATTAACATACAAAAGGAAAAGGTTTATTTTGTCTGCGTTTTGGAGGTCCAAGATCAAGTGGCGCCTTTCGCTTTGGGCCTGTTGGAAGGTAGTCCATTATGGTGGGAGTCTGTGGTACAGCAAAATCACTTATCTCATGGCAGAAGTGAGGAAGGAGCTGGAATCTTGCAGTCCTTTTGCCGTGACCTCAATGACTGACAGACCTGCTGAAGCCCAGGGGACTGTGAGCCTTTGGGGACATTCCAGATCCAAACTACAGCTAAGGGAGTCCTGGTACTTTCCTAAGCACTCTCTCCCCTGGGAGCATCTGCCAGATTTTGGTCCCACTGGTGGTGAAAAGTCTAGACCTTATTAGCTTCATTAAGTCTTTATTAGCGGGGATCCCAAATACCTCCCAAGTGCTAGGATTACAGGCATGTACCACCACGCCCAGCTACCACACTTTGAAAGACCAAAAACTGCCTATATTGCATTACTTTGGGAAAGGGACTGTGAAGGCTGTAGTCTTCTAATGCTTCAGTTAACATTAAATAAGAATAATTTTGCTGAGTAATCCCTAAAATTCTCACTGACAGACATTATGTCAGTGTTGAGGAAAATGTGCAATGCATGTTAGAGGTGACACAGTCACCCTTATCGCAGGGACATAAGTATATGTGTTACAAATGCCTATATTTAATCCACCATTCATCCCAAGACCAGAAGGATAGCTGCGGGTAAACCAGTTGTCCTAAAACCATGATCATCAGTGTTATTTTTACACCCAGCATCATTAGGCAATTGCTAATCATTATCCTTACCATAGTGGACAGCATATGTCTGTGTACATCAAAGACAAAAAAGCTGAGTTGAAAGATTAGAAGTGTGTTTTCATTTCCTTTGTATTTAAAAAGGTCAGAATCATTGAAAGACTTTTGAAAATATTAAGGGAAAATCATTTAATCCTATAGGTATGTGATTTAAAGAGGTACTTGAGACATCAATCTGCAATTGTTTATTTTTCATTAATTCACACAGTCATTCCATTCAGAATTTGTTATGTGTCTGGTGGCTCTGGGAATAACACATACAAAAATAATTAAGATAACTTCTGTTCACCAGGAGCTCACAGATTGCATAATGCAGTTATATAGCTAAATATAAGATCTGGTTTTCCAAACTTATTCTTCAACTGTAATAAAAGAAAAATGAAGTAAACTGAAACTTGAACTTACTTACGAGTTGCCACTTTTCTAACTGTAAAAGCATTAGTATATGGTTGTTTGGGTTGCATCATACTGCCCTCTGCTGTCTCAGTATTAACTAAGGAGAACTCGGATTTAAGGGTCAGGAGATAGAGAACCTGCCCCAGTAACTGCAGTTCCCTTTCTTTAAAATAAGTATTCTACAGAGAAGATAACATATTGTTAATGTACACCCGGGATCACCATAGCACATTATGTGAGATAAGAGTAGGTAGAATTTCAGAAGGAATAGGAATAAGCTTCTCAGAACTTTCTAAATTAAGTAGGCTATTAGAGGATGGCCAGTGGTCCCCACTTACATGTACATTGGTATCACTTGGAAAACATAAAATCCAGTCTCCTATTGTTCCCAGTTGTAATTTAATTATCTTGGATAACGCTTGGGCTTTGAGATTTCTAAAAGATCTAATGTGAGAGAAGTTGGGAACCATGTCTAAGCAAAAGCATAAGCCCATCAGGACCTGGGACTTTTGGAACATCACAGACAACTGTCTGTCTTTGTTTTGCTAAGAACACCTGAGGATGGTACACTGGATCATACTGAAACTCACAGAATACTGGAGTTGAAAGGGAACTGAGATCATCTAGTTCAGAAATTCCAAATAGGTCATGTATGGCGCCCAGGCATGTTAAGCCTATGTTAAATTTTTAAAAACTTCAAATTAGTTGCCAACATTTAATTAAGAGCTTTCATATAAAAATCTAATATTTGGTTTTAAAAAAACCCAGAAGGTCTGACAACCCTAGACCTTAGCAACAGACCAGTGCTCAGCCACAGTTTAAACCCTTAACTGGGGCACTGCTCTGCAGTTACTGTCTCCACCAGCTGGACCCTAGTGAGGAGGACCCAGGGGCACAAAGACATAGAAATCATGCTTGTGTAACCAAGAGCCTTGCCAACACTAAAAATCTGAGACAGGGCTATGAAGAAGGGCTATTAACATACGGCAGACATTTGTTCCTATACATTAAGCCTGACTTTGAACATAAGGTGTAACATTCAAAAAAAGGAATCTCTGGCATAACCATACTTAATGACATTCTTGAGCCAGTGACTATCTCAAAATAGGCAAAGAGTTTTAAATAATGTGACTAATTTGAAAACCACTTGGCATGTCAAGGTCATCCTCATAGGAAAGCCCAAGTTCCGTGTTCTCGGATGAGCTCTCAAAAAGCTGATCCTCTAAAAATTATTTGGGGATTCTTCGTAGTTCATTCATAAACCAAAGGGCACCACTAAGCAAAGCCAAAGAGCCTGACTGGTGAGTGGCAGCCAAAGGAGTTGGAACGTACATCAGCAGAGTGCTAATGCCCAAGATCACCTGTGTAAAGGAAAGATACCAGTCAGAAAAGTAAATACCACAAATTTACACTGAAAATGAGTGGGCATGGATAACCAAACATACAAACCTCTACATCCCCCCAACAGAACATTAAACAGATAATGTATATAATGTAAGTATACTTACAATTGAGGAATTTCAAACAATAGATAAGCCCCCAATTCCCCTTATTATCCTCTCTACCAGTGATGGCGAATCTTTTACAGCTTTCAACGATATAAACAGCCCAGTGTGGTATGTACACCGTAGGTTTGCCAGCATTGCTCCAGGCCATCCTGGTTCCCCAAAGGTAAGTAGCATTACCAGTTTCTACACACCTTACTTTCAGATCTCTGTTTACAATCATACATACAGTTTTTTGCTGTTAAAAAATACATTGTTCTATCACTTGCTTATTTTTCACTTAACAATTGATATCTTAAAATCTTAAGCTGCTGCACGTTATTCCAAATAATCTATTACAAATATTAAAAATGTTTTCTTCCAGTCTGTCACCTTCCCTTTCTGACTTTCTCTGGGGGATACCATCAGACCAAAGAGAAGTGACTTATACCTGTGTGTACGCCAAAGCTAGCAGAGTCATTGCTGCCATCCTAGTCCTTCGAGGAAGGGGGATTCTCTGGGACAGGAAGTAAAGTGCGGTAATGGCAGTGACAGAAGTGATGCCCTGTGGGGAAGAAAGACTCTCATCAAAAGAGCTGAGGTTCCTCTCACATGCCAGGACATCCACTAAATTCACATGTCTCTCTGGAAGCACTGAGTGACCATAAACTAAAGTCTGTACTAAGCACAGTGCCACCCTACAACTAGTTCCGCCTTAGTTACTCCTCCTCAGTCTCGTCTCCTTGCAGCTTACAATGTGGGCGTTACCCAGGGTTCCCACTGCAATGCCGCGTGCACCACTTTATACACATTCTTCTCAATGTTCTTAAGCCGCCTTCCACTGTTGGTATCCCCCAGGGGCGGCCCTCATTTGTTTCGTTATTTTGATAATACTTTATTAGTTTCTTCAATCAAACCCACACTAGTATGGCTGTTAATTTTGTACAGTGTCAACACTGTAAACTGGGACTTTTTCCAATGTTGACAGTACAGCTAAAGTTTCCAAAAATTCAAATTATCTGTATACGTATGTGTATGCATATTTATATTTACTTAAAATGACCAATAGTGGTATGTTATGCATCATAAACAGCAAGAAGTTCCCCAGGTTCTGCAGTCATCTGGGCAAAATTATACAGACATCCAGTGCATTCCACTAAAAAAGGAAAACAACAACAAAACCAAAAAACAGCGAAGTTCTGTTACTGTTTTGGTAACCTGCACTATTTTTACTAGCTTTTCAGTCATCATCTGGAAAGAACATTCTAGAACAGTATCACTGAAAATGCTGACAAAGCACAGTTGTTACTATGTACCACAAAGCAAGCAAGATAATTTACATTTACAGAAGTATGATAAAGTACTGTCCTATTACGGTAATACTAAAAGATAAAGTTAAAAACCGATTATTTCAGACTTGATTCGACTTTTCCAGCAAAGTGGCCTTTCCTTTTTAAGTCATTCTTTAAAGACATCCTTATGAGTAATTTTCTTCCTACATTATTAAATCCTACACTATTTAATCCTACATTATTAAGGTAGCTTATGAGGGTTATTATTTTCCTGCACTATAGGCAGACTAGATGGTAGTGTGATTAGCTGCTGCCAAAAGAGATTTAAAGTCCTACTCTCATTCTGCCCCTTTAGAACAAGGGTCTAGGACCAGCAATAAGGTCTCTTTTCCTTGTCCATGTCAAGAATGTTGTTCTACCATATTTCCATACCTGTCTCACTTTTTTTCTTTTGCACAGCTGTCTACAATGGCAATTTCAACCAAACTTTACTCATACCTCTACTATATAGGGATAGGGACTGAGCCCACAGGATAACATGCCCTAGCCCCAGATCCCTTGCTGAGTCCTCTGGACTTTTCTAGATGTATGACTATCTCACACTCAATACGCCTTCCTTAATCCAATGACATCTCTCATCTCTAGCTCAACTCATTCCGATGGTCCCATTTCTGTTGGTTGTTTCTTAAGCATGCTGCAGAAGCAGCTTTGGGACCCTCTTTGATTGTCGTTCACATTATTCCTAACAGCCTGGCTTAACTTTGATCTTTTAAAACCTCTCTTGGATTTACAATTCCCAAGTCTGCGTCCCACCACACAGCCTTGTTGCCCAGCACTTCGCTTTGCATCACTGCAGCTGCACTACTACTACCGCTTCTCCTTGCTGTGCCAGTTCATCAGGCGCAGTTGCCAAGCCTTGTTACCATGCCAGTCCCACAGCAGTGCCTCAGGTACCTATCGGCTTAAATAAGCTGAAAAGTGTTGGTGAGACTCCTGCTCTTCGGAGTGCTTCATAACTGTGGCAACCACAGTTTCTGCACTCTGCTCAACCTCACATGCACTGAAATGACTGTCCAGGGTAGTCGGGACTCACGGAGGTTATCACTTGCCAGGGGCGGAAAGGCATACTCAAATGTTAAGAAGCTCACAATATCCTGCACTAGGGTATCCTCCATTAGACTGTGTGGAAGGGGTGCACTGAGGACAAAAGACCACATCAGGTAGCTGGTCCTCGCGCTTCTGAGGGGCCCTTCAAGGCCTGCCAGAGGCTCCTGTGCTCAGAGCGGCACTGCTTGCCGCACTTACCAGAGCCCGGTGATCAAACTGCACCATGGTGGGGTTCTCAAAAACGTTCCTCAGGATGGGGGAGAAGGTGAAGAGGTCCTCTGGGATCCAGGAGTCTCCCATTTTGGGGAAGGAGTTGTAAACAAGACCAGCATCCAGCCCGGCCACAAAAGCCCCTGTATTTCAAGGTAAGTGAGACTTAAAATAAGAGAATAGATACAGAACAAGTATCAAAGTTAGGGAAAAGGAGAATAATAGACCTACAAGAAGGGTTCTCAAATTAGGAGTGTGTATCACAGTCACTGTGGGCACTTAAAAAAAAAAAGAGTAGCAACTCTGCATCTTTCCCATGTCCCACCGAAGACTCCTGCACATCTCCGTTAGGAACGGGACTAGAAGCTCTGTAAGGAGAGAACGTCATTTTGGGAAAGTTCCCTCAGAACTCTGACGCCTTCCCCATCCCCACCGAGCACTGCTGATGTACTCTGAACATGTTCTTCCTCTGTACAATCTCCTCCCTCAGTTCCTTATACCTCCGTTCACACATCTGTTTGGTCACCATACCAAACAGATCTCTCCTGCTGTCCTATATAAAATGGCTCTCTTCCACTCTACTTCACTGTACTCCATCCTGCTTTATTTTTCTTTACAGCACTGAATATTTGACTTTTTTTTTGTACTAGGGATTAAGTCAAGGGACTTCACATTGAGCTACATCCCTAGTCTTTTGTTTTTTTCTGAGACAGGGTCTCACTACGTAGCTCAGGCTGGCCGTGAACTTTCTGGCACTTCTCCTGCCTCAGCCTCCCAAGGCTGGATTAAAGGCATGTTCCACCGTGCCCATTTCCCTCAGTCATTTTTTATTTTATTTTATTTTTTATTTTAAAAATTTAAAAACTGACGAAACAACAATAAAGGCAAAATCAAAACAACACAAAAACAACAAAAATGATACATGACCTCAAGACACAATGACAGAAATTTAGTGGTTTCTATACTACATACTGTTATCTTCAATGGAGTTGCTCAGTCCATTAGACATAAGAATGGAAGACTGATCAAACAATCACAGTAACAAGTAAAAAAAATAATAATTAAAAAAAAATTGGAAATGATGCATAGCATCACCGTACAAAATGGTAGGAGTTCAACAATGGTTCTTATACTGCATTGACTAGTCCTCTTAGTAAATTACAGACATCAGCAATACACCTATTCCAGCTATCCTCAGTCATTTTTTAATTTTTAATTTTTCAGCCAGGCATGGTGGCGCACGCCCGTAATCTCAGCACTTGGGAGGCTGAGGCAGGAGGATCATTGTCAAGTTTGAGACCAGCCTGGGCTACAAAGTGAGCTCAAGGCCAGCCTGATTCAAAAAGACAAAAAAAAAATTTTTTTTTTCAAACAGGGTCTTGCTAAGCTGCTAAATTTTGCAGGTTGGGCTCAAAGTTCCAATCCTCCTGACTTGACTTCCCAAAGTACTGGGATTACAGGCATAAGCGACCATGCCCAGCTCACGTTATATTTTGTGTGTGTGTGTGTGTGTGTGCATTATTCCAAGTTGGGATCACACTCCTTATTTTTGCAAATGGCCATGTATATAGTCAAAATTCATGCTCTCAAACAAAAACAGAGAAGGAAAAAAGAAAAGGAAAGAGGACAGGAAAAGGTTGGATGGATCACTGGTCTAAATCAGTACTGTTTTCATTCTAAAGCTGTGCTATTCAATTCAGTGAGCCCTCAAAGTATGGCCACTGTAACTACATAACTAAATTGTATTTAATCTTTATTGACTAACCAAATAGAACTACTGATACTATTAGTGCAGTTCTAAAGTGGCAGGGGTTAAATTGGAGGTGTGAAAAACCCGTAATGGTCTTTCTACCCCAATGAACTCACCACTTTTGACCATCTTCAAGGCCTTTTATCTGACCCATCTCGGTATAATGTAATCATAACAAGAACATTACACAGTACTAACAGCTAACCTTTATGTAGCTTTTACTTCATGCCTGGTCCTGTTCTAAGTAGGTCATATATATTACTCATACTACAGTCATCATTTCCACTTTACAGATGAGGTCACTGAAGCCCAAAGAGGTTCCATAGCTTGACAAGGTCATTCCGGTCACAGATGGTGAAGCCAAGGTTTGAATCTGGACAGGCGGGATCTAGGGATGCTCAATATGGTGAAGACGGTGTGAACAAGACAAGTATGAAAAAGAAATAGACACATGCCGGAAGAAGGGCAAAGCATTAGCAAGAGATCCTACGTGGAAGTGAACAAAACCAGGCCATCTCTGATGAGGAGAGTCTTACCTGAGAGAGCTGTAAGGAACACTAGACCTGCTGTTCCACCAGCAAATCGTCTCAACCATAGGAGTTGGCGGGTTTCAGGCAACTAAATAAGAAAGAAAATCACAATTGGATTGCAGGGATTAGGAGAGATAGCAAAGCTCTCCAAGGCCAAACATAAGTGCCAACTTGAGGTCAGAACTTCATTGGCTTCTAGACTAGGCTAAGTAATCTCAACAGATATTCTAACATGCACCATATTTCATTAGGATTATGCGTGTCTGTCTAATCTACCATCTTGTAAGATTTGTGGAGGCAGAAACTGCCACCTGTCTTCCTGACTATAGTAACCCAGTCTACTGCTTGGCATAAGGTACTAAATATGAATCTGTTGATAACTGAATGGCTTACATTACTCAGGGGAAAAATGCTTTTCCATGATTGAAATGATGTGGCTTAAGATAGAGGATTGGATTTTCATGTTGCATGTGATATTAGTGCCTAGCAAATACAGTCAGAATCTACATTGTGTAATGCCTAGAGACAGTGTTTTTGGTAAAAGCAAAATTTGTTTTTATTTTTATTATAGCCAACTTCTGATATTAATCAGTGAATCAAATCAAATATTAAGAACTTTTGAACAGGTCATTACACAGACACGAAGGAGTCAAGCAGTGCCCTCAAACGGCTTATAATCTAGAATATGCAAAGTTATACATCATTAGTAAGATATGATAGGAGTATATTAATGCTATCTATTGGTACTTTCTATGATAATGGATATATGTTATCATCTATGGCTACTGAGGGCTCAAAACACTGCCTAGCTGGGTGCGGTGGCACACCCCTATTTTCCCAGCACTCAGGAGGCTGAGGTAGGAAGACTACCATGAGTTCAAAGGGAGCTTGGGCTACATAGTGAGTTCAAGGCCAGCCTGAATTACAGAGCAAGACCTTGTCTCAAAAAAACAAAAACAAAAAAACTGAAAAACCAAACAAAAGCCAGGCATGGTAGCACACGCCTATAATCCCAGCATTTGATAGGCTGAGGCAGGAAGATCACAGTGAGTTCGAGGCCAGCCCAGGCTACATAGTGAGTTCAAGCCCAGCCTCAAGTGTATAGCAAGACCCTATCTCAAATAAAAAAAGAAAGAAAGAAAAAGAAACACTGAAACAGTGCCTAGTTTGACTGAAATTATATAAAATGTTATTTTTATTTAAATATGAAGTTTAAGTGAAATGTTTATTTAAACAGGACACGGTAGTACATGCCTGTAGGAAGCTCAGACAGGAGGACTGCAAGTTCAAGGGTAGCCTGGGCAACTTAGAGGGATACTGTTTCAAAATTTACAAAAATAAAAATAAAAAAGGACCGTGGATATAGCTCAGCACTCCTTGGGTTCAGTCTTCAGTACTGCCAAAAATACAGTTTGATTTAAATAGTTAATTTTATTTCATTTTAATGAGTTAAAATTAAGAATTAAATGGTTACTTGACCATCATTTCAAATCATTTCCATAATTAGAGGTAATACGAAGAAATAGGGATTAAATAAATGATATGATCAGTAATACATAACAGTTTAATTTCAGCAGAGTGTATGTGTGAGCACATAGATCTAAATGTGCTGAGATGTGTGAATCTGTGTGTAGAACAGTGAGTAGAGGCCAGACTATGGGGACTGAAATAAAAAGAATGGGCTGTCAAGAAACAGAAGCTATAAAACGCAGACAATGGATTTTACAAGTTTGGCTTTGAAAGTCGACCAAACATTTCAACTGTCTGGCTTCCCTGTGGGGATGACTGCCAAGTTAACACCTCTAATTCTTCCTGGGATCCAAGCCACTAGCTCCAAACAGCTATGGACTTGTTCTACTTAACAATCCTATTGTCTCCTCAAACTTCACTCCACGTTCCAGGTCAGTGGTGGCAAACCCACATGCATGCCGCAGTGGGCTGTTTTTATGACTGAAAGCTGAAAAGGTTTGCCATCACTGATCTAGGTCAATCCACGATTTCAGTACCTAACCTAATAATCACTGGCTTTATGTGTTGTTTTTTGTTTTTTGTGCTGAGGATCAAACCTAGGACTTTGTGAATGCTAGCCAAGCACTGCACTACTAAGCTACATCCCCAACCCTAGTCACTGTTTTAAAATACTAGAGAAAAGTGTCCTCTAGGGGTGTGGTTGAGACCTCTATTATAAATGATGGCTTCAAAAGTAATCATACCTTGCTTTTATATCAAAGCATAAAATGTAAAAACTCCTATCTTCCTAAAGGAAAATCAGCATAGAGAAAACCCCTTTAGACAAAATTGCTTAGCTTTTTCTTTACTTTAAAAAGAAAAATAATACAGGGTTTCAAAACAAAATGATAGGAATTAATACTGTATATTGCTATCTTCAATGAAGTTGCTCTTGCTTGGGTTTACTAGGTGAAAATGAATGGTAAATCCCTATTTAAGAAACAATACAACATGTATACCACCAAGAGTTCAGATATAGCTCTTTTCTGGCCTGCCTTGCCTTTCTATCCACCATCCCTTCTGTGAGTCAGAGTTAAAAAGTTTGGAATATGCTGGGGATTTAGCTCAATGGCACAGCGCCTGCCTGGCAAGCGCAAGGTCATCAGTTTGATTCCTGGTACCAGAAAAAAACAAAAACAAACAAACAAAACAAAACAAAACAAAAAAAGACGTAAGTATTAGCTTTTTGGGGCTGGGGATTTAGCTCAGCGGCAAAGCGCCTGCCTGGCAAGCGCAAGGTCGTGAGTTCGGTTCCCGGTACCGGAGAAAAACAAAAATAACAACAAAAAAGTTCGGAATACCTCTTGTTGGTGTGCCTCATTTTTCCCTAAAATTTGTATTTGAACCTTTGCCAATAGACAATGCAGACAAAATATTCAGCTCCTATATGACCCAGCAATTCCATTTCTAGATATATATCCAAAAGAACTGAAACCAAAAAAATATTTTACACACCTATATTCACATCATTACTCTCAACAGCTAAAAGATGGAAGTAATACATCCATTGACAGATGGGTAGATAAACAATGTCATATACATGTACAACGGAATATTACTGTGCCTTAAAAATGGAATCCTGGCAGACAGGAGGACTGCAAGGTGAAGGAAATTATGATACATGAAATAAGCCAGTCACAAAAAGACAAATACTGTATTATTCCACTTATATGAGGTATCTAGAATAGTTAAAGTCATAGGGAAAGTAACTTGTAGTTTAAAAGGGTAGTTATTTAATGGGTATCAAAAAATGTTGAAGACTGGTTGTACAATATTGTGAATACATTTCACCTTACTGAGCTATACACTTAAAATGGTTAAAATGAAAAATTTTGTTATGTACCTTTTATAATTTTTAAAAAATTCAGCTATGCTAATTTCCCTTTAACTGTTCCAGCACAAAAACTATGTAAGTATATGTTTTGCTTTTGCAGTCTCAAAATTATCTAAAGTCCAAGTTCAATATATCTCTAAACTTTAGTACAATCTTGTTTCTGGCAAACTGACAGATGCAACTTTACGGGAATCTGCAGTTTGACTTTAATTTCTCATTAGAATCAGAATTCCCTGTTAGCATCTGTACAGATGAGGTAAAACTCCACAGACTTTACCTTGTGCTGAGGGAGCAGCAGGGAGAGCGAGGTCCACAGGCTGGCGCAGTAAAGAACCAGGGCTGATCCGAGGTGGGCAGCAAGGCGGTACTGACTGACCCGAGGGATGTCATGGGAGTCTGGCTTTTCTTCTAATCCGCTTTTCACCATGTACCATCCCAACAGACCCTAGGGCCCAGAAGCGAAGAGGCAAATCTAAACTGAAACTATTCTGTTTTATTCCCTTCCTGACCTCTCCTTTGTATCCTCCCATATCCCAAGAATCATGACTTACCCACAGTTGCACACTTGGTACCATCAGTACTTTACCACTATTTAATGTTGTATTGAACTATAATCCAAATATAAAAAACTACGTGTTTGTCATGGTATGCAGAACCTTTACATAGCTGAGATAATGTGACATTATGTAAACCAATGATAAAAAGAGAGTTGGCTCTGCAAACTACATTGCTTGTTTGAAAAAGCTTAATTGAAAACAATTATTGTCAAGTTAGGTGAAGATAAGGCAATTACAAAAGTTTTGGAGCTGGGCATGGTGGTGCACACCTGTAATCACAGCACTTGGGAGGCTGAGGCAGGAAGATCTTCATGAGTTCATGGTAAGCCTGAACTACACAGTGAGTTCAAGACCAGCTTGAACTACATAACAAGACCTTGTCTCAAAAAAAAAATTTTTTTAAGGTGACATCATACAAATCTGTAAGGCTTTGCAAATATCTGAGTTCCCACTTTTTTAAGAAAAATGGAACTGGAAAACAGTTTATGTAGGTGCAAGAGATATGAAGTTGAATTCTAATCTGGGGACTCAAAGAAAAGCCTTAGTCCTACTTTGAAAAAAAAAAAAGATAACAATGAAAGTACATGTCTAAATTTAGACATTTACATTACGTGTCATATTTTATGATTCTCTGTTGTAACTGGCTTTTTCAATCAACCAAACCACTGTCTGTTCCAATTACACCAATTATAGTTCTTTCATACTCGTTCTCCTAAACCAGTTGAATCAGGTTAAAGAGGTGGGATTCCCCCACTTCTTCCAAATACATATACTCCTCAGGAAATTGTTTTGGGCATTTCCTTCCCCTTCAAGATTACCTTGGCTATTCTGATTACCCTGATTTCAGCTGCATAAGACACTGGAAGATGAAGGCACATACAGTGCAATTCACCAGTGCTCACTTTTCTTCCTCCCATAACTCTGACATTTTAAATTTCTTCCTTCTCGGAAATCTATTGTTAGCGTTTACTTCTAAAATATGAAGTTTCATTTCGTTCCATCTAACTTTCCCTGGTTACCATCAGACTGTTTTTCTTTCCTTCTTTCAGTTTTTTGAGACAGGGTCTTGTTGTGTATTGTTCAGGCTGTCCTTGAACTCATGGCAATCCTCCTGCCTCACCATCCAGAGTGCTGGGATTGCAGGTGTGTGTTACCACATCTCTATTAGACTTTTATAAAGGTCTAACTCATTGTTTCTGTTGCCTCCTGAATCCCTTCTAACTGGCTCATCTTCTTGCCAGAACCTTTATACTTTGATCTACACGTTTCTAAGTGTCTTCTCTCAACTCCCTTTCTTGCCGATCGCTTTACCCACCCTCTTAACTGTGGGAGTCTTTCAGTGCTTTCTTCCTTTAAATGAATTTAACTTAAATGATTTTAAACACTATTTACATCTGAATATCTCTCAGGTTAATCTGTATTCTAAGATCCTTCCTTCTATAAAGTGTTTCTCTCTTTCGGTTTCCTATTCGCCTCTGGGATTCTACTCTCTTGGAAAAGGGAAGAAAACCCAGGAGACCCATGATGGGAATAAACTCTATTCATACATGAATATGAACTTCTTGAGTATTTATTGACTCCAGGCACTCAGATAAGTGCTTTCTATGTTATCATCTCATTTAATATCCACAAACTCTAAATAACAGGCACTATTATGATCTGCATTTATGGTAAGGAAGTCATAGTTTGCAAAGGTCAGATAACTTGTGGCAGAGCTACTCAAATGCATACTCTTACCCACGCTGTTACAGTGCTTCAAAGAGAACTTCCTAAGAAATAACGCCAGCTAGGAAGCTCCTTGAAGCACCTCTAGTTTCCCAAACTTGAAAAGTCTTACCTGGAAAGAGACTAAGCCACAGAGAGCAAGAACACGGCCCTTCATGCCACGACTGAGCCAGCCCTTTCTCCAAAAGTAGGCAGCAGGCAGGATGTATGCAAGACCTACAACACGACCCCACATGCGGTGCGAGTACTCCATGTACCAGATGAACTTGAATTCGGCCAGCGTCATATCATGATTCAAGCTGAGTGAAACAGGAAGTCAAAATAAAGTCAAAAATAAAGAGGATCCATACAGTTGATTTTTACTTCCCTATGGAATACAGAAACCTTCTCAGAATTGCCATTTAGTAGGTCTGCCCTGTTCCTTATTAGCAACTTGTGGATGACTCTGGATTTAAATGTTAGATTAAGTAGCTCATTAATTACCTGAACCAAACATCAAGAAATAAAGGGATCTAGCCAGACACAGCAGCACATGCCTGTAATCCTGGCACTGGGGAAGCTGAAGCAGGACGACTGTGAGTTTGACTACAGAGTGAGTTGCAGGCCAGACTGAACTACATAGGGAGACTGTGCCTCAAAAAAAGGAAGAAAAGAAAAAAAAAAAAGGAACCTAACCATTCCATAGGGCTTCAAATAAGACCAAAAATGGGTAAGTGGATACTCACCTGTTTCTTTTTTTAAACTTACATTTTAAATTCTGGAAATTGCTGGTATTTTTGGAATTCTGCTTCCCATTCCTCTTGGTTTGTCGGTGGCTTCATCTCTTTTATTAAATGCCAGTCTACCATGGAGAGGCCAGACTCTGTCAACCTTAGGACGGGAAGTAATTTCTGAGTATATGATGCTAAGTTATTCATAAACGATTTACAGCAACAAGTAGATCATGACCCCAATCAAAGTAAACACATCATTTCATTGTTTCCTCTTTTGATACCCTTTTCTCTTACTGCTTACAAGCTTGTAAGAAACAGCCGCTATCAGGTACCAATTTCTTTACCCTCCTACTTGCTCAGTTTTTTCGGTCGGCTTCTCCACTAGCATTACTTGACAGACAAAAACTATCTGAAATGTGTCCTAAATGCCTAAAGAGCTGTTTTTGTTTTGTTTTGTTTTTTTTGTGCTGGGGATTGCATATACTCTACCACTGAACTACACCTCCGGCCATAACCATTGTTCTTTTTTAAACTGTAATTATCAACACCTATTAATTTTACAAGTTAGTGGGTTTCATTCACTACAACACTTATGTACGTGCATGTTATTTTGCTTTGATTGTGTCTACTTCCTCTTCTCCCTCCCCTCTATCTCCACTCTCCCAGATAATTAACATGCTTTACACAGGGAAAAGATTTCCTACAGGTATGCAGGTTTAGGTTCTCTGGGGATTGAAAGATAGTAATATTCAAATTTGTTGTTATGTGGTTTCCTAGAACAGATTACATGGCACTTACGGTATACTGCAACGGGAATTAGGAGAGAATATGGGAAATACACACTTTATGAAAACCGGAAAATTGATCCAGAGGTTCACAACCTCTGGTACATCAGAGGCACCACCAGGAGGACCCCAGGAAGAAGTTGCTGTTTTCAGTGGAAAACAAGTGGCAGTTACTGGCCACGATGACCTTGTACCTTGGATATGGATTTGTGAAACCTTTCTTGAGAGTGAGACATGAACTGCTTAAGAACTAAGGATGTTTTAATTCATCTTCTTTCACAGATGTGAAGAATATCTCAAGAGGCACAAGCTCTTTGGAACTAGATCAAGCTGTTCAATTCACATAGCTTACTAGGTATGTTTGTAAATAAACAGATGACATTAAAAAAATAAAAGGAAGAAAGAAATCAAAAGCAGTCAGTGTCCCTAAACTAAAAGCTAATTTTAGGCTGTAGGCAAGGAAGGTACAAGATAAACCTGGACACCTTGTGATACCGGAAAGCAAGGAAATTATCAAAGGTAAATAGGGCCCTATCAAATGTGTTTAAATCTCTTGAGTTTAGAATGGCATTTAAAAACGCAAAAACTTTGTTTCCTTTGGGAAATCTCGGGAACTACTTTTTTACTTTATATTTTGAGGCAGGGTCTCACTATGTTGCACAGGCTGGCCTTGAACTCACTATATATCCCATACTGGCCTTGAACTCATGGTAATCCTCCTGCCTCAGCCTCCTGAGTGCTGGGATTACAGGCATGTGCACCAGGCCTGGCTTATTTTGAAAATTGGTAAATAAAGGGAAAGGGTCAAATATTTCCTTTGCCTTTTCTATAAGAAAATTATCTTGGGACAACCAAATTGCTGATGAGAGAAAGTTTCTCTTTAAACTGAGCTAATAAATATCCTAATTTTGTAACTCTAATGAAATACTGGCTCTAGGCAATCGTAATCAATGGTTGTTGAAATCTCTTAAGAGACACCAGCTATTTGTGAATGTTCTAATCACCTATTAAGAGTTTTGCTCCTTTATCCTTCATCTGAATCTGATCAGGAATTACCCATTTACAGGACACATAGGGCAGAGCGGGACATGTTCAGTCAACAGTGCAATCAGCAAAATCAAGGCTGTGGGTCGCTGTAGGACAATGTCTTGGGTGTCACCAACAGTAAATCTATAAAGTCTGTTTACAGTTAAGGAAAATTTATGACATATGAAGCAACTGTGATATATGGAACTGTGAAGTACTGGGATTAATTCAAGAACCCTGAAAAACGATCAAATACAGTTGAGATTGGAGGAAGAAACTGCATTGAGAACAGGAATCCACTGAAGACATACACAAACAAGCCAAAGCTGCTAGTTACGACTTAAACCAGTCTGTAACAGGCTCCTATGAATAACACACTAACCTGTTCTATGGCAGGGAAGGCCATCAGATACAGTGTCTCTTTAAAGCCTCAGTTTCTCCATCTGTAAAATGACAGAGCTGCACCAGATGATCCCGAAGGTCTCTTTCCTCTCAAGCATCCTGTGTGTCTAATGACAACCCGAATACCTGACTCGCTACACGCAAATTACTCACCTAGTTACGCCACCAAGAACAACTGCTCCAGCCACTGTTCCACTGCAGACCAGGAGCCATCGGCCCACTACCCGCTCAGCAGCCTTTGAGGGAAGGGACACTGTACCCTTTCCAGACTGCAAAGCCACTTCGGTGATGGTGCTGTATTGCCCTGGCCTCAGAGGGCGCCTGATGCCATAGCTGCAACCACACTAAGGGTCAAAACAGACAATTATAACTGAAGAAATAGGGAAAGGCTTACCCACACCCAGCGGCTGCATCTCTGCTTCTGCTGGGAGAAATCGTCACTGCTATCTGGACTACTTTCCAAACCTTCCACAGTGGTTTTCCTGCTGCACGTCCTGCCTCAAGCCAACCTGACCACACACTACATCGATTTTCTCTTCTCTGCACACTTCCCCTAGAACTGTCTACACCTAGAAACAGATTATTTCCTTTCTTCTCTGGGGCTTTTAAGCATAATTCCTCTCTGGAACGCTTCTTGTTCTCTGACCAGTAAGACTTAACTACAGATCTCAACTTATATGTCACCTCCTCCAGGAGGTGTTCCCAAAGTCTCCGAAGTCTCCAATAGGTCAGTCACAGAACACAGCACAACCGCTAGCAGAGTTCTCAAAACACTGATCTGCCGCTTTCACTAATCTGCAAGCCCTGGATGGCGGTGTCTGATCAGTCTTAACTCTACTACCTTTGTTTCTAAGGCAGTGCCCTTACATAACAAAGCCTTACTAAACAATTAACAAATGAACTGTAACTTCCTCCAAGGAGGAAGCACGGTAGTTACTTATCTTTCTCTTCCCAGTTCCTAACACACAATAATTTCCCAACAATTGTTAAGCGACTACATCCCTCATCCCTCTATCTGTAAAACATCTATGTTTAGTTTCCTGTGTCTACTTAACTGAGTAACTAGACAGGCAACTTAAATGAAGCCTAGTTTTTTTTTTTTTTTTTTTCTTTTTGTTTTGAGACAGGGTCTCGCAATGTGTGCAGTTCAGGCTGGCCTGGAACTCCTGGCACTCATCCTGCCTTCCGAGTGCTGGGGTGACAGGTGTGCACCACTACGGCCGGCCTCAATTTCTTCTTCTGTACAATGGGTTTGTAGAATAGTTCCTGATTACCTAGGGGCATTTAGCAAAACTCAAACATATAGTTAAAAATTACTGAACTTCTGCCTTGCACTAAAGTTTTGATGTATGTTATTTCTCGTAACAACCTTATTAAGTAGGTATTATCCCCATTTTACAGATAAGGAAACTGAGGCACAGAAAGGCTAAATAATATGGCCAACAGCACAAAGCTAGCAACAAGTGCACTGAATCTGAACGTAAGGGTCTCTGGACACAAGGAAACGCGTTGGGAAACGTAAGGAGCTAAAGCAACGTGACGTGGGGCTCTCCTCGATCTTTATCCTGGCCTTTTGGTCCCATCCCCTCGGTGATCGGCGTCCGTGGCGGTGCAGTACCTGTGCTCTGGGAGCCACCCTAGGAACGCACCGGCTCCACATCAAGGCCTTCACAGGTGGAAGGAGCAACCGCTGCATACCGACAACAACGAACTGCCGCCCAAATACGCCTCAGCGCTCTAGGGTATCCTTTCTCGGCGCCCCAAAGCAGCAGCACTTCCGGGTCAGGCGGGGCGCGCCTGCGGAGCCTCGCGACTGCGCATGCGCCAGTGACCACGCTTCCGCAGGGTCTGCGGGGGCGCGGGCGTCGGGGACGCGCTTCTGCGGCTGCGCGCACGGCCGCCCCTACTGCGAGTGGAAAGCGAAGGCGTACAGGGGAGGAACGCGCGGAGCATGAAGAGGCAGGGGTCCTCCTTGGAGCGGAAAGCGGCGCGGACACAGGCGGGGACGGCCGGTGCGGAAGAGGCGGGGTAGGGCGGTCAGGCGCGGGCCGTGGCCGGTCAGTTTCCCGGGAAGTTTCCTCCGCGCCGCGCCTCTGCCCCGGCGGCTTGAAAAGCGTGGGAAGCGCGAGTTGGCCACGGAGCTGCCCGAGTGGGTCCGAGTCCCGGCGCCACACGCGCGGTCTTGCGACCTCGACCGACTTGTTCAAGTTCTCTGAGCCCGGCGTCCCCACGTCGCCGGGGCCGCGCGGACGCCGGGAGCAGTGCGGAGGGCGGGGTGCGGGCGAGAGCCGCCCCGCTGCGCCGTGGCCGCGGCTGCCCCACGCTGCGAGTCCTTCTGCGCCGGGCGGACGTGGCAGGCGGGAGACAGCGAGTCCCTCTCCTGCTTCGTCAGCTCTTGGTTCCTCTGCACCAGCGGCTCGCACATTTCTTGTGCTCAGTACTCTTGTCCTGAAAATCACCGAGAACCTCAAAGAATCTTTGTGACTGATAGCTATACATTTTGATCATACTAGAAATTAAAACAAAATCATTAAATAGAAAATAACCGTAAGAAACCCATGTTAACATAAATAACTTTCATGAAGAGTAAATATTCCTAAACAAAAGAAGAAAGCAAAGTGGCAGTGTTACTTAGTTTTGCAAATCTCTTGACTTCATGGAAAACAGCTGGATTCTCACACCTACCTTCTTAAATTCAGTCTAGTCTAGCAGCCTCTTCAAACGTCCATTTGTGAGTGAAAGTGGAAAGGCAGAGTCTTATATTGGTATGAAAATGGTTTTCACCCCACATACTGAAAGGGTCTTCAGAGGTCCCCACAGTTATCTGAGCTTCATCACTTTAAACACTATTGCTTCAAGCAAATGTCCTCATCTTTCATCTCTGTAAATAACTTTCTCAGAATAGCTGCTTACTCTGCCTGCTGTCATACTGTGTTTTGTGTACATCTCATCTTCTGCTAGCCAGGTTCCCTTCTGTGAGGTTAGTGATAACCCTGCAGCACTGTCCAGTTGCATTGATGGGGGGGGGGGGTAGCAGCTATCTGGAGGCTCTTGGAGTTAATGCAGTATTGTTGGTGAAGAACATAGATTAACAAGTTTTTCAGATTGGCACTGATAGTCTTCTTTAAAAAGAACAGTTGCAGTTAGATATTAGCTAATGATTGTTTTTCAAAAAGGTGGTTTAATTTTTCATTATAAAAGCAATATTAGAGCCTGGCACAGTGACGCGTGCGTGTAATACCATTTACGTGGGAGGCTGATGCAAAAGAATTGCAAGTTCAAGGCCACCCTGGGCAACTGAGCTAGATCCTGTCTCAAAAAATACATTAAAAAGGTCTATAATGAAAAGTTAAAGACATCAAACACAGTGACATACGCATACTCATGTTTATATCAGCATAATTCATAATCATAGCCTATATATCCACCAACAGATGATTGTGTCAATAAAATGTGCTATTTATACACAGTGGAGTACTACTCTACTCTAAAGAATGATAAATTGGAGTCATTTATAGGAAAATGCATGCACCTTGAGACCATAATGTTAAGTGAAATAAAATCAGGTGCATAAGCTTAAATAGTGGATGTTTCTCTTAGACACTATATATAAATAAAGTGCAAAATAAAAGATAAGTAATAGGAAAAAAGTTACTGTAATCCAGCATGGACAATGTTAAAAGAGTACATAATAATAATTCTCTTTTATGTGTTTTATATGGGTTTTTTTGGCCTGTTAGTCTGGCTGTTGGTCTGTGTGTATGATAATTTATAAAGAATTAGAAGATAAATGAGTGACTGCTGGCAAAAGAGGCCTGGGCAGAGGGAAAGAGAAAACAGAATTGAGATGTGTTATGTATGCATACCAGTTTCCCACAATGAATGTAGTGAAACGTGTACTAATAGAAGATATTTTTAAAGGGCTGGTAATATCGCGCAGTGCAAGGCCCTTAGTTCCATACCCAGTACCACAAAATTACAGTAAACACACAACTAGCATATTGGGTAGAAAAATTCAAGCAATGGAACCAAAGAAGAAAGTAAAAATAATTCCAAATCTGCTCACAGTTACCACTCTGTGGTGAACACTCTTCCACACATCACTGCATGAAGTACACAATATTTTTAATTAAAAATAAATTATATCTTTAACTTACAGGAAACATTTGAAACTATATCATTTTTAGTATCAATATATGAATTTGCAATTACTCAGCTTTTAGTAAATGTTTAAGTGACTACTGTGCTTGCTTTGGCTAATAAAGATTTCTCACATAAAGACCTTAGGAACTTTAAGTCAGGTAAGAGTGATCTGACACTTCATAAATAAGAGGTAGAAAGTAAATAGTGTTCTAAGGAGGAATATATAACTCATAAAGAGTTAAATGTGTTCAAAAGAGGGAGAAAGAATTTCCTACTTTGAGAGGAAAAAAAAAAGGGAAATGTAGCTTGACAGTTGGAAAATTTTAGCATTAAAGATGAACCTGTAAGGATTTTATGGGTTGGGATAGCATAAGTAATTGTGAGGATGAAGATTAGATAGAACCGGAGACATAAGGAGGAAATAATATGTGGTTTACTAATGACACTATTTAAATTCTTAGTGGGCACTATGCCTTGTACATGAACTAGGTCATTTACGCTTTACTACTCTCAGGTAGGTAGCAAGACCTGCCGACTTACATAGAAAACTCAAGAAACTTGTCTAGAATCACACAGTAAGTGATGGGACCGGGATATGACCTCATTCTTGCTTTTAAGCACATATTCCTTATAAAGACATTTAAACGTCATGCAGGGGTCGAGAAGCATTGTAGGAATCTGAGCTAGGATGTGATGATGAGGTCGGTATTTAAGGAAGACTGATTTGATGTTCATTGTCTATTTTGTTCAGTATGATTTGCACATAGGTCTGTGTACCTGTTTCACAGTTATGGTACATCAGTTTAATAGTTAATGTGATATTTTACTGCATTCATGGTGCCTAGGGTACTTACCTACTCCCTATGGTTTGACATTTAGATTTTGGTAGTAAAATGTTTATATTTGTGAGCGATTGATCGGAATAGATAGTACCTTTGTGCATTTCTGTTGTTCTCCATATATTTTAGGAGCCACAGATGGATTCCTCATGGAAGTCTGTGTGGATTCAGTGGAGTCAGCTGTGAATGCAGAAAGAGGAGGTAAGAGAAATTAGAGCATGAGGGACAGTTGGCAACCTTTAAAAGGTCTAAAAATGATTCCTGTGAGCTGACTTCAGAAGTCCTCATGATCTCTGAGGATCCTAATAATCCTTTCAAAAATAACCAACTAAACACCTACTGGAAAATCATGGTCCAATCTCTTCTCCCCAGCAGGTCACGTTTAAATCATGTTCACAATCATACTTGCTCATTAACTAGACTTCTTTTTTTTTTTTTGAGACAGGATTTCACTGTGCAGTTCAGGCTGGCCTTGAACTCACTTTGTAGTCCAGGCTGGCCTTGGTTAGACAGTAATCCTCCTATCTCAGCCTCCCAAATGCTGGGATTATAGGCATGTGCCACCATACCCAGCCTACTAGATTGTTATTGATCATAGCAAAAATGTTAAAAATTCTAAATATTAGTTTGAATTGGTTTTATAGGAGTTTGGGGGTGTAGCTCAGTGGTAATACTCTTGCCTACCATGCATAAATCCTTGGGTTCAAAGCTCCCTCCTCAATTCAAAAGAAATTAAAGGGGCTGGTGATTTAGCTCAGCGGCAAAAGCGCCTGCCTGGCAAGCGCAAGGTCGTGAGTTCGGTTCCCGGTACTGGAGAAAAACAAAAAAAAAAA